ACACACACACACACACACACACACACACACACACACACACACACACAGCGTGACTGACCGTGTATGAAGCGGAAGATGATCATTATCTTATCCAGGATTCTCTCCAGCTCCTCCTCTGTAGCCTCTTTGTTCCCTGCTCTCAACTTTGAATCCACATATTTAGCTAGACGGGAAGCAATAACCAAAGAGAGCCGTTACCACATGCTGGAACTAATGAAAGCAACGTTAAAACGTATCAGAGCTCGACTGTCACGGCATGTCATTTATTTGCCCTGACCCACCGATAAGTTCCGCAGGTTTGTTGGGCCTCTTGTTGATAAAGGTCTCGAAGGCCTCCTTCATGGCGTTGATGAATCCCTCGTTCCGCGTGAAGCAGCTCTGTGCCACGTTGTCCATCTTGTCCTTAAAGTCCAGCAGGTCTTGCACCATGTCCTTGTCTTTCTCTGGGGTGCATACGATCTCTCCGCCAAAGGACTGCGACCAGAGAAAGGTTCAACAATGTTGGGACACATTTTTCCTTGATGGTAACACTTTGTATGCCTCTGTGTATGTTGGTTGAGCTGTGTTTGTACCTTTATGTAATCTCTCCAGAACTGCAGCAGAGTGGGGAGTCCTCCCTTCACCTTGCTGAAGAGCTGGTAGAGGAGGGCCAGCTCGGTCGCTCGATTCCCATCCAGCAGGGTACCCAGACCTGGCACAGAAGTATCACAAAAATAAGCTTCAACTGCATTTTAACTATTTCATGTTGATAACTCGATTTACATGGGCTTGATTAAGATTTAAAGCAGCAAACGAAAGTTATTGACCAGGTGGGACACCTTACAAGGTAATGGAAAGCAACCGGAGGACACCACAAACTACAGCCTCAAATAACACCGTAGAGAGGAATCAATCACCTGCTGGCCCAGTTACATAACAATTGATTTCACAAATGTACATATTACAAACACACATGTTAATGTAGAGCACTTATTAAAGCCTTTCATGCAGACGTACCTTTTTGCAGCATTGCAGTAATGTGTTCTCCTAAGAGCTGTTTCTCAACACAGCTAATAAGTGGTTTCCTGCAAAATAATGAGAAATAATGAGGAAATGTATCCAAATGATGGAATACATGCACACACATCGGTCCTTTTGATTCAAGAAAATGCCTTTAATCTCACCTCCTGACATTTTTGCACAGCAAATTTTCTATTTGTTGAAAGCTAATGAAAACTGGGGTTACACTAAAGCTCTGGGGTCACTGATTTGAAGCTCTGATGCTATGGCCATGCATGTTTACCCTTCAATAGTATTTTTACTCAATGAGATCAAAATGTTGTAAATTGTAGAGGTCTACAAAGAAGATGTTGAGGCATCTTAACCAGAAAACATTTAAAATGATAAAAAAACTGTGTACTGGATATTTAATGTAGACAGTCCTTTGTACTGACACTTTGATGCATACATTGTCTATAAAACAAATACATCAGTGTACTGTATTTATTTCGAGTGACACCTCCAAAAATTCAAAGAGGCCCCCAATGATACTGAATAGCAGGCAGACCCTGCTTTAAATGATAATCAATGGTTAATTATGTCTCTGCTTATTTTCTTCTCTTTGTCTCAGTTACATAACAGCACAACAGAAGATTTAATAAAAATAATTACTGAGTGCTCTGGTCGAGGTAGCTCATGATACGATCGTTCTCCTCCTCCAACCGATGAGCCACATGGTGCAGATACTCGGGCACCTGGATGCACACCAAGACACATATTCAGAGGATTTACAGGTGAGAAGCACAGCCATGGCAGTAAGTGTATAACAGGTTACAGATGACTAAATCGCAGATGCATCAATACTCTCACTCACGTCTCTCTCCTGCGTCAGCCGCTGTCCCTCCGCTGCATACAGCCGATTGGTCTCAGTCAAAAATCTCTCCTCAAAGGAATCTTTGTAAACCTTAACGCACGTTAGACAGAAGTTACAAACAATGACACACGCTCGGTCTATTTCCTCCTGGTCAGCTCAGTACGGGGATGAACAGGTGAACGGGTACCTGTAGGTCTGACAGCATCCCCAGCAGGCTCCGGATCAGACTCCGGTCTACCGTCTCGCCATTCCGCTCCAGCTCAATCTGCTCCAGAATGCCGTCTACTGTGCGCTTCTGAACCGCACCGTCGCTCACGATGTGGGTACGAAACAATTCCAACCCAGTGTCCCTGCAACGTACACGCAACATCAGCGTCCTGCTGGAAGCACACCTTAACGAACACAGCATTGAATGAACTAACTTTACCAGATGGAGGGGAGTAGGGAGTTCTGGAGCACATAGGTACGATCCAGGAAGAGAAAGATACTTCGGATCATTATCTATAGAGAGAAAACCAAACATAGTCTTAAAAGGACACTCTCCCATGAGTGGAACATGTGATGTACATACATGTCAAACATCACACTCACAGTTTGCCTGCAGTGGTCCTGCCAGCAGCGATTCATTCGCTTCAGGAAGGAAAGGTTGTCCAAAGACTCTGTGAGCTCCATGTTAAGGAACAATCTTCCAATCACTTGTGTCATCACAACAACAAACAATAAATAAATATATATTTTAAGTCCAGTCTGCCTAAAACAAAGCATAAAACAACGATTAGGCAACTAGAGGACATCAATGAAAAGCTATATTATTTGATTGCTTATAATCTGAGACAAATTATTTTGTTATTCAGCGGCATGTCTTCCTGTACAATACGTCAAGCATCTTTGCATCATCTGCAAGTGACAGCCACTGCCTGTTAAAGCCCCATTGTTGTAAATTGGCCTCTTGTGAGAAAACACTGCAACAACACCTGAGGTGCGACAGGAGAGCCCAGATTTCCTAAATTAAGATTAAAGCTGACAAGATAACAAAAAAAAATAATCACTGTCAAAACCGCAGGTTTGTGATAAAAAACATGGGCTCCTCGATATGAGAAAAGGCTAAAATCAGTTTGTTTTAAGGTAATAGACCTACAGTCAAGGAAGTCTCTCTTTCACAATGTAAGAACACCTCAATCTGCATCCTATTTGTCCCCACATCAGAACATGCTTCCACAGGTTTGATACATAACTCATAAGTGAAAAAAGGATATTCTCTAAACTGTTTGATCTGGGCCTGCACGTGATCTTCACAGACCTGCCGTAGCTGCTTGTACAGCGTGGGGGAGACTTTGTACGAACAGAGGTTTTCTACTGCCTTCAAGAGAGAGAGACAGCAGATCAGACAGCTGTTTCACAAATGATGAGCACTGTAACATTACAACAACATTTCTTTTTTTAGATTTGGCCACTGGTTTCCATTAATTTTAGTAAAGTTTGTAAATCCATTTTTTTTAATATGGTAGTTTTCAAATCAATATGCACATTAATGTGTAACAGTAACAAAAGTAAAAGTAGAGATTCTGTTTGTGATGCGATAGATTACCTCTTATATATATATATAATATAAAATCAGCAAACCTGATAGAGCTCTTCCAGATTGTACTTGATCGAGGTGCTGTTCTGGATGGCACCCACTGCATCCCGTAGCTTCAACCACGTGTCCTCGGTGTAGTTCTCAGCTAATTTTGGCCTGTCTGTTACAAACAAAAACAGCAACAATGATCATTTATACACGTTGGGAACCACCAAACAGGCTAACAGGAACTCCTTAATGCAAATGAAACAATATCGGCATTTGGATAGAACATAGTTTGAGGTGTTTATCACACACATAAGTTGCAGGTTTGGAAACCATCAGTTCTGATAGTTTATGATCCAGCACCATTTATCAAAGGCGTCTATCAAATGTAAAAAGAAATAAAAATGTGACTTGATGTAATTTTTTTACTTAACTCCTCACCAACATCTGCAATAGGTAGTAAACATCTGCAATAGTTAGTATTGATTGAATATATCTTAGTTTCTTTAAATAGTTGATAAGTTGGATATTGTTCTGAAGAAGTTTGCACGTATGCAGAGAAAGCTTACAGTTTTATATTTATTCATTTTTTTGGAGTCTCTGTAGCCAATGAAATATGATTTATTAGTATGTAATGCATATCAGCACATGCCTGCTGAGCTGACTATGAAAAAGTGACTTTATGTTAACCAAGGATTCTAGCTCTGCCGAAGCATCAATTATTACCTGATAAACACCCTTTTTAATATTTTGTATAAACAATCTATAAAATGTAAAAGAGGAAAGTTGTCAAGTGATGTCCTGCACACAGACAGTCTTATCTATAAAATGATTACCATTTACCAATATGTGCAATTGGGACAACCAGAACGTGTGAAAGGTTTTTAAATCCCCACGCCCCATGAAATCAGTGCATCAAGCACAAAAAAACAACCTAAATCACTGAGAGAAGCATCGGTGTGATTACAAAGCCTTTACAAAGCTGACATGTGCTTATTTGATCAGTTACGTCAACGATGTGTTCACTGCCCAGAGACAGACAACTTTTTCACAGTATAATCTGATAGTTAAATCATCTGTCGTATTAGGATAAATAGATCTAACTGATTGATGTTAGATAACGAAGATGAAAACAATCAGTAACGTTACCTTTGAAATTTTTGATGACTAATTTCTTTGAAGCGCCACTTTTGCTTGAGGCCACAGCGGAGGTCCTGGCCATCCCGTTGGTGTTGTGCTCCGTTATAGCGGAGAAGCTGGCTCTCTTGTCCTGTCGGGTGTCTTCTGCCATTATCAGATTAACGCTTTGGTTTAACGCCGTATGCTCCAAGTGTTTTTACTAAATTACTGTTCACGTTAGATTGTTCAGTCGCCAGTTTATTTACTGGCAGCGACACAGACTCTTTGTTGAACCGGTTGTCTTCAGGTGCACAGCACAGGCAGTCGCAGTATATTTAATACACGTGTACAAACAAACACTGACTAACGTTGGGTTATTCAAACATAAAACATAACTACCGTAAGCTCAGTAAACAGATAGCTAGCTAACAGTGTGTCATCTGAAACTGCAGCACACTTTAGCTCTCGTCTTCACCACAACACTTTAGCTTTAGCTGTTTTAGGCCAGTCCATGCCCGCCTCGACTACTTACAGATTTCAACGAGTTCAACTATTGCATTTTGCGACAGCATACACGCACGTAAAAGCGACATAGATAGCGTTGATATAACAGACCCATGGTAAAGGTGGCTTTCTTTACCGACATAACGCTAGCTAGCTAGCACAACAAAATGGCTTTTCTTAGACAGTTCGGTTGGACAGGTGCATCTTGGGTGAAAAGCGGCCGTGTTGCGTTCAGAGACAGTTTGAACTTTCACCGTCAGTTCTCAAAACGTTAAATAAAACCCACTATATATGATTATACTGCACAGAACAGCACTATATTTGTCCTGACAAAGTCAGTAACTTATTAAAAACATGTTCCCTGTGAGTCATAAGTAAGTAAGGCGTTGAAGTAGGAGTATTAAGCATTTACTTATGACTCACATTGTCATTAGTTTACACTTTAACACAGTGTAGAAATACTCTGACACGTGAAAGTCCTGCATTCAAAATCAGATGTAGCGGAAGTATTTGCACCAAAATGTACACAAAGAACTCATTATGCAAATTAGCCTGTTTCAGAATATTTATATCACTGGATTATAAATAGTGATGCATTCACGTGTACATGACTTTAATGTTTCAACCACATTATATACCGCCTAGTAGCTTAATTTATTATAATACATTGAGAAAGCACTTAGCAATAACCAATGTATTTCCAATATAATAATAATAATGATTATAAAGCTGATATATCAGTAACTTTGTACGGTAGACAGATATTACAATACAACAAATTCATGTCAACAGACTTTTCATAACAGGCATTTGACTTTTCACAGCATTGAATCTACAGGTGGAATGAATGACATCAATGTTGTTTTTTTCCATTAAGTGTCCGAGTGAGCTATTCCAGTGAGCTAGTATGCACAATACCAGGACCTCCCCTGTGGCATGCAATCAATAATGTTATTTAACAGACTTGACTTATCAAAAATGTCGTCTGTGAAATAGGTCTATTAGGAAATATTGTGAAAATGTTCAAGTCTGGCCTTAGCACTTGCTTTTGCAACACACATACATCGTTGGCACCCTCTACAACATGTGTATGAGTGAACAAACTAGTGAGCATTTGTACTCCCATTGAAGGATGATAATGTTGAAAACATATTTATTTATTATTGATTAATTTTTGGGGGTGGAAATATATGAGGTCAGTTTGAAATGTGTTGAGAAACCTAACAACTTTGCTCCTCACTAAGACGGTCTTGAACGCACCCCCGTATCACCGAGTTTAGTGCAAATGGGCGGCGTTTTATACTGGACAAGCAAGACCTAAAGCTCCCATTCAAGCTGTATTTGTCTGTGTCGACCCGAGCACCATAGCTATATTAATGCTTCCAAGTAAACATACGTCGTGGCGGCTGTGTTTAGAGCGCTGAGGCTGGCCTGTTTGCGGTGATCCGGCCTGCCGTCCTGAGCGCTGTGTGCAGCGGTAGGTATGCTTGCGCCAACAGCTCCGAGAGAAACTAGGGAGTGAGTTGGTGCGCAGAGTCTTTGACAGAGCATCATCTCAAGGAGGAGGCCGGTTGGAAACTAGGTGATTTTCCTTTGGACATACACCATGTGAGACACACGATCAATGACCACTTTCTTTAACCACGTTGGAGATCCAGCTCAGTGTTGATTAGCTTGCTAGCTTCGGCACCACTGGTCTCTTTAAGCTAAGGTTAGCCTAGCTAGCTGGCCCAGAGGCTACCGAGTATAAGCAATTTAAATCGGACCACGACTTCCTCGCATGCTTAATATACCTTAACCTGCGAACAACGTATTCTTCCACGAGACAGCCGGTGTTAACCAGTGCACTGTGTTTAGCTAACTACTGGCGTTAGCCTTTAGCTAGCTAGCGTTAACGTCTTTAGCTGTCACCACTGAAGCAACATGAGAGAACATGTCAGCTAATGTGTTCCAGAACTGTTTAAAATGAACCCAAGCTTGTGTCAACATGAATACTGTTTAGGAAATATGACTGACTTATCTTTACGACATTACTCGGGAGGTTTCTGGTAAGGATGTGAACTAGCTAACATTATACAATAGTAGGGAAGGAGCTAATTACCACAACAGGGCAGACTTTGAAGATAACTTTAACATTTATGACTAAGAAAAGAAACACTTCATTCATTTTAATATTGTCAACTATACAATGACTATGGGGGCTAGGCCATAAGTAGTATTTCTATAATCGTATCACCAACCCCAGAGTGCCCAGCCCATAGGTGTGTACATGACTCTACTTGCACTACAGGCCAAGAAAGAAGAAAACAAAAGGAAAGCAATACATAATATGTCCATGCGTGTCAGAACATATGAGACTAACTTATTAAACACACAACACGTTCATATGTTCATTATAAACAACCCTTAGCTTAATCATATGCCTAATAGCTAACGTCGTAGTCGTCATTCCACAGCCAAAGGCTCAATGCCAAATCTTAACTGAGAGCAAACCTGTCCATATAGAAAGCTGCTTACGACGCTTGTTATTTTATTAATCAATTAGTCAATCAATTGTTTGATCTATGAAATGTCATAAAATTGTGTGAGAAATGTTTGCTACGATTTCCCAGAGCTCCAGGAGGATGTTTTGGCCAACCAACACTTCAAAACATTAAGATGTAAAGAATGTTTGGGATTTTTAATTCACACTAATTCACACACTTGTGCTTTCACACAAAGCAGAATACATCCAGAGTCTGCTGTGAATGAGGGACACGCCCGTATTTATATTGTCAGTGACTTCACAAGAATATTTTGCAGCACACTGTCAGTGTGATCGTTTAATTTGTATGCAGTTTTGTTGATGCCTGTCTGTTTTGCATCCTCTAGTGTAGATGCCTTGGCTGAGATGAGTGTGAAGGCTTTTGAGCTAGTCCCCGCTGTGGAGCGAGATCTCCTCATGGGCGACAAGGCTCGCATCAACATCGAGTGCATTGAATGCTGTGGAAAACACTTGTACATGGGCACCAACGACTGCTTCATCCACCACTTCCTGCTGGACGAGGTCACTTCCTCCAACGGGAAGCTGAGTTACTCAGCTCAGAAGCTGCTGCACAAATACCTGGGCCTCAAGAAACCGGTTGCTGAGCTGCGCGCCGCCTCCGCTTTGGAGCGTCTGATCGTGCTCTGTGATGGGATAGTCTTCCTGGCCGACATGGTGACACTGGAGACCGTGCCCTCGGCGGCGGGAGGGGGAGCCAAGATCAGAGGTGTGACGGCATTCTGCATTAACGAGAACCCTGTGAACGGTGACCCGTTCTGTGTGGAAATGGGTGTGCTCTCCTCCAAGCGCCGCACGGTGCAGATTTACATGGTGTACAAGGACAGAGTGCAGCTGGTCAAGGAGGTGTCCACTCCTGAGCAGCCCTGTGCCGTCAGCGTTGACGGTTACTTCTTGTGCCTGGCCCTCGCCACACAGTACATGATTCTGAACTACAACACGGGAGCCTCCCAGGACCTCTTCCCTTATAACAGTGAAGGGAGGAGACCCATTGTGAAGAGGATCGGCAGGGAGGAGTTCCTCTTAGCAGCACCTGGTGGTCTGGGTAAGTCGGGACCAACCCAGGTTATCTGCAGTAATTAAAAAGCACTGAATTTAGTTGCCTTCGCCATTAAAAAGCTGTGAATTTTACATGCCCTTCACTCACAATGGGTCAATTGTAGCAGACATTTTAATTATCTATAATTTTCAATTGGTTAGTTGATCAATACTCTGCCATTTATCTACGTCCAGGACCCCAGGTCATGTTTATGGATTAATTATATTACTAGTTGTTGTTTTTACTGCTGGCAAGTACTGACAAAAATGTGAAATAAATGTCCATAAATTAATTTAAACATTTTGGGGCATTTTTCTCTCTACTGATTCTTTGACCTGTTCGACTGCGAAAAATAAACTAAATTGCATTCTCTCTGGTATTAAAAATGTCTTTAAAAATTCCTAAATTTTGTCAACACTGCAGAAATTGAAGCTTTGGTAGTTTTTCCTTCTTTTTTCCCCAACTGTTTCTCCACTCAATGATTGCAACGTTCGGAGTACTTCTTGACTTAAGAGAGTGTTTCATGGCGTTTATCTTCTATCTATTTAAAATTGTCTCTCCACTTCCCTCCCCAGGAATGTTTGCCAATGCAGAAGGCGTATCGCAGCGAGCTCCAGTCAACTGGTCAGAGAGCGTGATCGGTGCCGCTGTGTGTTTCCCGTACGTGGTCGCTTTGGATGAAAGCTTCATCACCATCCACAGCATGTTGGACCAACAGCTAAAACAAACCCTTTCATTCAGGGACGGACACATTCTGCAAGACTTTGAAGGTATCTTCACATATTGCTCTTCAAGGATTTTCAACCTATGTCATCGAATGAAACCAAATATTTATCAAAAGAAATCTGAAGGAGTGATTATCTGATTGATGATTTCGCATTTTGCCATTATTCGTTTAGGTTGTAACACATTTAATGGTCAAAATAAACCAACAAGCTCCCTTAATAATCCACTTGTTTGAAATGATGTATGAAGTTTCACCTGACTGTAGCATTATGTTTATTATGCATTAGATACTGCCTCCTGCAGGTGTACTCATTAACATGTATCAACCATGTTGCCATTTATCACATTTCACTAACACTGTTGGACTTACAAGTGACAGCTCCCTTGTGTGCAGTAGTACTTCACAAGACCTGTAAACAAACATTACTTGGGAGTTTAATGTACAGACAGAAGACGTCTGGCTGATCTGTCCTACAGCCACAGTAAATGTTAATTGTCTTTTAAAGCTCACAGCTGATTTTGTTTTAGTAGTTAATTTAAATAATATAGTGCTGCTAACATGTAAACTGACATGTTTCTGTTATATAACACATTATTGTTGCAATACTTGTTATTCTTTTAACAAAGGTATGTTCTGAGATGCTTATCGTACTGTGAAAATCTCAAACTATTACAACCTCAGTCTTTATCCGTCAAGTGCTTCCTTGTTGCTCACAGATCTGTTAGTCAGTAGTCCCGGGATGGAAAGAGTCACTGCTCTGGCCGCCTGGACTGAGAAACCAAAACCTTTTTAGGTACTTTTTAGAACACTGGAGTTTCAATGGAATCTGGAGCACGAGTGACCTCTTCCTGTTCCAGAGACTCTTTCAGTTCAACAACTGATCAGCAAATGAAGCGCTACACATGAAGCTCTCTCCCCCCAGAGCTGGAGACGATTTAACAGCGTAAACCACAGGATTAAGAGTCTGTTGGTTCGGATATCCCATATTTGTGGCTGTTTTGAGAGTGTTGAAGTCCTGACCTGTGAGTGTTGTGTGTTTTTAGGAAAGGTCATTCTGGCCTCCACTAAGGCAGTGTATATCCTGGTGCCGCTGCCCCTGGAGAGACAGATCCAGGACTTACTGGCCAGCCACAGAGTGGAGGAGGCGCTCGTCCTCACAGAGGGAGCACAGCAGAATATTCCCAAAGACAAGTTCCAGGTAACAAACATGGTGTTGGATGGTGTTACGTGTGAATCATCGATCATAGATAGATACTTTATTAATCCCGCAAGGGGGCTTTTTTTTTCACTACGGCAGCATTTATGGTACAGGTGAAGCAATCAAAATAAAAATGCACAATATATACAATGAAATAGAATAATATTCAAATAGTTATTACAATACAATAATGCAAAAAAACAAATAACAGTGTAACATAATCACAATCAGTGATCATATGATAACTTTACTTTAATGTAAACTATTACTTTATTGACTATTTTTCTCAACGAAAAAAAAATCACAATTGTCTCACAAACTGTCTCGTTCTGCACGTACAGATTTTGCACAAAAGAATCCTGCAGCAGGCAGGTTTCATACAGTTTGGCCAACTTCAGTTTCTAGAAGCAAAAGAACACTTCAGGTAAGAGTTACTTTGTTTGTTAACACTGTTTGAACTGCTCTGTGTTGACGTGGGATTTAACGGCCTGTGACTGTAACATGTTACGTCGTCCATAAAAAAAAAAAGTGTATTCATTAATATTGAAATAGTGTTTATTTGTGCTGTACACTTTGGTGTGAATCTGGAATTAAAAAATGTATTTGAATCATCTATCAATCCATGTGTACTTTTCTGCCACACTAATGCACATTTAATTTTTTTAAATTATTAATATTAGAAAAAATGTTGAAGATTGTGCAGCTATGAGGTGTGTGTTCTAACACTGCTTTCTTCTTCCTCTAGTTGTTTGCTCTCAGTTCTTGGTTGCTTTCTTCACTCGTTTTTTTTGCTACCTCTTCTATTTGCAGGAAGGGTCAGCTGGATGTGCGGGAGCTGATCTCTCTCTACCCACTGCTGCTGCCAGCTTCCTCCTCATTCACGCGCTGCCACCCTCCCCTCCACGAGTTTGCCGATCTCAACCACCTGGCACAGGGCGACCAGGAAACGGTGCTGCGATGCAAGAAATTCCTCATCACTTATTTGGGAGAGGTAAATGGAGTCAAAGAAAATGATTTATTTCCACGTTTTGGAGAAAGATCGCTACGACAGAGGTGCTGGTAATACTCCACATGTATTGCATAATTATTTTGTTATTCGTGCACACAGGTACGAAGCACAGAGGTGGCCAACGGCTGTCGAGAGGACGTGGACACTGCACTGTTAAAGCTGTATGCCGAACAGGATCACGACAGCCTTCTAGACCTGCTAGCTTCAGACAATGCCTGCCTTCTTGCAGACAGCGTCCCATGGCTGGAGAAATATCAAAAGTGTGTATACTTTCCTTTTTGGTTTTGAGTTGAGCCTTTTAAGAACAAGTTGATATAATTAATCACGTTATGAGATACACAGAAAATCACTGCATTTTAACACCGACATTTCCTAGTTTCAAGAGCTTTCGCCTTATTGGAATGGACACACAAATACAGTTCATCTGAGACAGCATCCACACATTTAGAAGATTGAGGGTAAATTGGTTCTCTGTGTGATGGTGTCGTATGCTTACAGCTAGTATTTAGCACTTTGGGAATCAGTTTATTTCCTACAGGGACGAGGGAGAGGAGGTTTTGCTTCATTCAGTCTTTTTCACCCTCATAGATATTTTGCACTTGGACTGCTCTATCATTCTAACGGTCAGGATTCAGCAGCACTTCAGGTATGTACGCCTCACCCGAGAATTAGCGCCAACACCAATGTTTTAGGTATTTAACACATTCCCTCTTTATTTTCTCCGACAGCTGTGGATTCGAGTGGCAGATGGGGATCTGCAGGACTCCACCAGGTCTGACCTCTACGAGTACATTGTGGACTTTCTCTGCTCCAGTCTGGACCTCGTGTGGAAGTATGCAGACTGGGCCTTGCGGAAGGATCCCACGGTAGGTTACCAGGACCTTAAATGATCTCAAACATCTAACTCTGCTCTCAAGATTATTAGTGCGGGTCAAATTTATACCAGATAAAAAGTTTTTTGAAGCAAATAAGCCTAATTATTCACCCATCTTTCTTTGCGTTTGTTCATAGATAGGTGTCCACATCTTTACTAAGAGGCCGGCCACTAAAGAGCTTCCAGAACTAAATCCCGATGATGTCATCTCTTACCTGGGAAAGCACAGCCAGGCGCTGCTTCTCTACCTGGAACACCTGGTGCTGGAGAGACGGATAAAGGTACAGTAAAAGGTTTTGAGAGAGAGAGAGAGAGAGAGAGAGAGAGAGAGAGAGAGAGAGAGAGTCAATTCTCTAAAGTACTGAATTAAATTACTATTATGGATATATTTAGATGGACCACAACAGACTCACTATTGAACACATCCTAAAAATACAGCTGGTCACATGAGACACAGTCGTTAGCACTGTTGCTTGACTTCCTCCCGCAACCCTGACCTGTGAGCTAAGTCGCCTTTTTTAAAGGGTACGCACACCTTCAATTTCTGCCTGGCTCCTCCCAAGAGATCTGCAACATAAGTACTTGAGAACATGGATGGATACATGTTTTTAGAACTTAATTTAACCAAGATAATTTCACTTGCGAGCAGTGCTCACAGAGAAGCTGGGCAGTACAACCACAGACTGATCTGCTGCTTACTGGGAGGCTCCTCTGTCTCATGTCGCTAGTTCTTATAAAGGCGGATCCTGTTGGTATCCAACCTCAACACTGACTTTCTGTGTTATGTTCTTTTTATGTTTTAAGACTATTTTAATCAGCGTTCAGATTAAGGTAATTAGAGAAATGCTGCTTAATCAAGTACAAATCAGAATTTTGCAATTTGCAATCAATTTGAACATTTTCATTTTAAGATAACTGTTTTTGCTATACTTTTTTTTTTTTTTTTTTTTTTCATCCAATAAAGTTGGTTGACTTCCGATTGTTATCTTCCGTGTTTGTGGATGCAGAAAGAGAAGGTCCACACACACCTGGCCGTGTTGTACCTGGAGGAGGTCTTGTCACTGCTGTCGCAGTCGCCAGCAGATGAAGAGCAGCTCTCCAGAGCCAGAGAGAAGCTCCAATCTCTGCTCAGGGAGTCCAACCTTTACCGTGCGCCGTTTCTTTTAGGTGAGTCACAGGTCTGAAGATGCAACTACAACTTGGATGTTTTATTTATAAGATTTCTATTTTTGCATAAACTTTGATAAGTGCTGTTTCACAGTATGTTACCCAGCTCTTTGAAGACTGATGTGATTTAGCTTGTTATAGTACAACCACAACTGTCATCTTCTATATTGTGTGACCGATTGTAGCATCACAAATACAATCTAGACTTAGTGCAGGTCTGGCTGTAAAGGTGACTGGACAATCCTTTTTATAGCAAGGTGTGATTCTCAAAAGTCACAAAGAGAGATCAATATGTAGGTTTTGACCCTTAATGTTTCATGTTCTAATGCTCTGTTTAGGTAAGATGGAGAACTGTGAACAACTGCTGCTCGAGCGTGCGACACTACATGGAAAGCTGGAGGAGCACGATAAAGCGCTGCATATATTGGTGCACAAGCTGAGGGACTTCCCGTCTGCCGAGGCCTTCTGTATATGGGCCTCTTCCTGTCGGGATTCGGCGTACCAACAGCAGCTGTTCCACCTGCTCTTGGGGGTTTATCTAGACGGGAACCCTGCAGGAAAAGCCCAGGCTGCGGCAGGTGGAGGTGGAGACCTGGAGATGGCAGCAGTGGACCTCCTAAATCGGCACGGCGAGGTGTTCGACGCAGTCCGTGTCCTGCGCGTGCTCCCCGAGGGCTGGTCACTGCAGCTGCTGCGGCCCTTTCTGGGTCGAGCCATCAGGGCCAGTATACATGACTGCCGCACCTCCCAGATCGCTCTGGGGCTCGCCCACTCTGAAAACCTTCAACTGCTGCACGACAGGGTGAGAAACTCACGACACGAGTCAGAAACATGCAAATTAGTGAGATAGATACTTTCTTCTTCCTCCGACTGCTGTACTTGTTTAGTGTGTTGGTTCACAGGGTAGGACACCATCATTTATTAGATCATGTTCTTGCATGTTTGTTGTTGTTATTGAAACCATAAGAGCATTAGTTTCACAAAGGGTTGACAGCAATAATACTGACAATGTTAACAGAAATGTCTACATCTTTTAAAGGTATCTGTGAAGGTACATTTCCCTCAATGCTTCTCAAATAGAGCAATTCAATAATAAACACCTGAAGCAGAGCTGCATTGGTTAGTTGATCTGCAACTATTTTTTTTATTCTTATCGATAAATGTTTTAAGTCATTTACCAAACAAAAATGGCAAACATTTGCTGTTCCAGCGTCCCAAATTATTTGGTGCTTTTTGTTGTCATGTGTTCTAGTAAACTGAATATATTTGCGTTTTGGACTGCTGGTAAAATCAAACAAGATGTACATTTTTATTTCATTGACATCAAGAAATCAAGAAATTAGTTTGCTGATGAATAGACCTTTTCTAAAATTTTAAACTCGTAAGTTTTCTTTCTCGCTATGAACGTCCTATTCGTCCTTATTCATCTGAACATTTACCAGAAATGTGACTTGTCAGATTGTCCTATTGAGTGAGATCAGATTTAAATTTTTTTTTTTTTATTTCTTTGTCATGAATATTTTTGAGTTGATATAAAAACAGAATAACAAATGTTGACATTTAGTATCAACACATTCTGACAAGTCACCATATATTGTCTTAGTCATATAAGGAATTAGTCTATTTACTCTTGGATTTTTAACATTTGTAGTGTTATCTTTGTGCTCATTACTGCTTTACGTCATCGTAACTCTTCAGTCATGTATTTTGTCCTCAGTTGAAAGACCGCAAGAAACCAATCTTTGTGTCTGAAAAGAAAGGATGCCACCTGTGCCACAACACCTTCAGTGAGCCCGACGTGGTGTGTCTGCCAGGCGGAGTGCCCGTCCACACCCACTGTGTCGCCCAGAGAGTAAGAGACTCTCCCACAAAGAGACAGTTAACTAATAGCAGTAACCATACGTGAGACTCCACCCTTCAGATTGCCATGTGATCTGTGATCGGAGGCACCAAACTAAAGCAGGACATACTGAGGACTGTGGGGGGGGGGGGGGGGGGAAGATAACAAAAAGCACACAACACTCATTGCCATCGTAGAGTCGGCCATGGAGCTGATGAGAAACGCAAAGAAAGCTGTGCGAGTGTGTCAGACTGTGTTTTTATTAGACGTTGGGCCTCGTTCAGAGCTGGCATTGGCTTGTGAGATGATGGAGCGACCTCCCAAACACAACTGGACGCGGTTAATTTGCATCGCCGCCTCCCTGATGTGGGTGATTATTTGCATATAGCGCAGGGAAGTGAGATCACGAGTGGTCGCTTGAGACACATTTTTAATGCCAGGTGTGAACTGACTGGTTAGAGCTGTCCACTTGTGATCGGATCACCTAAGACTGGTTAGTACCAGGCCTGAACAGGGACTAAGAAAGCACAGTCTAGTCACCCGGACCTTTAATCCATTTCAACAGAGAATAGATCACAGACGGGCTCCGGTGCTTCTCTGTGGGTTCAGGGCAAGTACCGGTCATCGTCTCTGCTTGAACACTTTTTAAACCTGAACTTGAGAAACTGCTTGAGCTACAGAACACACACTATTTGAAACCTGTTGCAAAGCATGCATAGTATTACCACTCTTACAGTTCTGGTCTCATCACCTCATATGGGTGTTGTATTAATATTGTCCTAACTTGCACATTGCAATGTTTGGTTTTAATGTGAAATACTACAAAGATTCATCAGTACAGATGGAAGCTGAGTCTTTTATGTCTGTCTTTTACTGTGTGGGATCTGTACTCACTGCTGCTTTATTTCCCCCCCCCCTCAGCTATAAGGGCACTGGATGTTGTTTTCACAGTAATTCAGTTCAACAGTTTGATCCAAACCTATTAGTTATCACGGTTGGAAACTTTGTCTCAGTGTGTCGTCTGTGGCGCAACAACAGCGTAAGACACTACATGAAATCTCACGCTGCTCCTCCACTCATCAGTGCGTGTACCTGGGGAGTCCATACTCGAACCGCATCAATGACCAAATCATTTGTTCCAAACATTTTCAATTTCAAATCTTCCTGCTGTTGCATCATACTGTGACAGTGTACAGGACTGATTCAGCACTTTTTACAGCTTTCCTAACGAAAGTAACGAATAACTGTCAGAGAAAAATGGTCGTCTCATAATGCATGGTATTGCACTGCACGTAACTCCTTCATTGTTTTTTTTTTTTTTTTTTTTTTTTTTTTTTTTTTT